GTATTGTTCTAACTAATGAATAACGAAACGAGGGAAAATACTTTTATTTTTATTTAGTCAAATGTCCTCTGAAATTGTCTTTCATGTAACCTCAAAATAATTGTTATAACTGAAGTTGTCACCTGACCGGAATCGTAGAGTCTTATTCAGTAATCAATATGAAAATTCTTCAAAACCTTTTGATGACAAACACAATAGACATCTGATTAAGGAATCTGGTTGAATAGCTTCAACAAACAAGAAAGCAAACTTCATAATTTTATCAAAAATTTTAATATTGATCATAAAAGCTGTTCACACTTTCTAATATAAATAATACATGGTTTTAATATAACGATCTATCTAACTTAAAACAATAATAATTTGAAGTCTTATTAAGTGATTGTCACAAAGTCCATCAAATAATAAACACCACATATTCAAGTGGAAATGATTCTTTGAAACGTTAGACTATATTACTACTATAATTTACTTATTACCAGAGAACAGAATTTGTTTTCCTACTAGTATACTATTTCTAAACATGGTTTTTTTTATTAATAGTCAATTGATAGAGGTTAAAACAGTAATGTATGATACTAATTAACATTACATAACACCTGATACCTTAAATATTTTTTTCTAAAATCTAGTCACCAATTCCCATTAATTTGTAAAACTTGAATACGATTATTTTCTAAATATATATCACATGAATTAATTTTTTATTTCATTCTAACCACCCCCCATTTAACTTATGTTTGATATTTTTTGACAAAGAAATAAAAACAAGAATTATGATTAGTTGCCGCATTTCATTAACAAATACAAGTTTAGTATGTAAGTAACTTTAATATTCAAATTCTATAGTTTATTATAAATTATTTTACGTTATACATGGTTGTTTTCAAAGGATTTACTATTCAAGGAACTAGTAATATAAGTAGTATTGTGGTGTAGCTTAATTATATCCACAGGTACCAATGGGGGCGGTCAGATGCGGATAGGTGGCGTCGAGCGGAGTGCTCTGACGAGGCGGCGTTAGTTGTAGCGGGTGCTGTCGACGAAGGAGAGCGGTGAGACGCGAGAATGCTGGGTGGACATCGGATGTAGATGGCTCAGCAGGGCTCTGGAGTGCAGGCGTCGAACGTCCCAGGTGCCGGGAGGATGTCGGATTTTGATGCTCCGGCGGGGTCAGCGCGACGCAGACTCGACATTTTGACGGAAAGCGTGGCACAGACTTCAGAAAAAATGAAAGTGGCACGGCGATTAGAACCACCGGTAGAACGAAAGCTTTAAAAGGGGGACGAGTGTGGTGTGGGTTACTTATATCCACACAAGTATTATATAACAGTAGTCAGGCACAGAGTGTATTTCAGTAGAAGATCGATAAGGAGAGAACGGGAACGGAACGTAATTGGCATGAAAATGCATAAACAACGAAATCTGAGACAATGTAATGATATTTAGAAAAGGAACAGCGAAGTTTGTAATGATGGATTGATATTTTGCAAATTAACTATTTACTATATGGTTATCAGAATTTAGTGAGATGCTCTTTAATTTTGCATCCAATACATTGGATTGTCCTTACTAGTGTTCTGTTCACTACAGTACAATGGGGAGCAATTAATGAAGTAGGCTGAAAACTATGACGAATAAACAATAGGTTTGTATTTTTTAAAAATTATAGTGGATAATTATATAATGTGCTTTATTCAGAAAACAAATTGTTATGTCATAACGTATATCACATGCATAACAATGTAAAAACCTTTCCATAGTTTCTATCAGAATTGACTATTTCACCATCAGATATATTTTTAATTAATGTTAAGTGAAGTAATCGAAAGTATAAAATTAATTAAATAGATGAATATATTAAGAGAAATTCTTGAAATGTCATTGACCTACTTATTTATTATGAATATAAGATGAACTTATAAAAGATTAACTCATAGAATTATTTACCTGGAAGTGAAACGTTCCATAGCTTATCATTAAATTTAAACGATCTTAAGTTTATACAATAATAATTAATTGTGTTATAAGTTAAGATCATTACTAGTATCTGAGTTGGAATAAATTCACTAATGACAATACAATGATAGGGATTTGTTTTATTTTACCTGAAAATTAACTTGGCAATGATTGAACTCATTCATTTTAGTTCTAATGACACAATACTTTATTATTCAAACAAAAAGAATTTTGTTGCAAAATAGGGTTTTGTGGAGATTTTAGTAATGTTATAGTTAGATTCACAAGTCACCATGCGGAAAACTGGAAGTACTGGATGGCTTTTTCGTCCTACTAGGGGACTCTTCAGCAGTGTGCGCTCGCGAGACAGTTAGATCCTGGGTTCGAGTCACGCGGAGTGAGATCGTGGATGCGCACTGCTGAAGAGTCCCATGCTATGACGAAATGACCGTCCAGTTCTTCCAGTTTTCCCATGGTGGTCTAGCTTTAATTGACTCTTGAATCCCACTATTAAAAAGAAATTTGTTTAGTACGATCGCTGTATATCCGCCTATAGTCGCACTAGGGTTACTGCCGGTTCTAAGACCGGATAAAAGAGAAGGGTTGAGCATGGAGTCAGGAACCCTATCTCGTAGAACACAAACTTGATAAAACAACACAAGTCAGGAAGAAAAAAATAACGATTGCTTTTGTGATGAATCATAAATATGTTAAGTAGTATAAAACAAAGTAGATCAAAGAACAGTGTCATATGATAGTGAAGAATAAACGTGCACAGTTTTTCTGAATTAACCACTGAATTTTATTCTTCAATATGGATGTTTTTCACTGAAATCACGATACAATCTAAGTTAGACAACTATTGAAAACCTGAAAATACGGAAAAGCCAGTTTATCTTTCTATAGAACTCCAACCTCAAATCAAGCATTTTATTATGCGACCAAAAATCCTAGGTTCGATTCTTGCTTGCGCAGTCATAAATGCTCACTGGTGTGGAGTTCTGTTACGGGGACAAAGCGTATTTCCAGTACCTCCAAATTTTCAATGGTTGTCTGAGTATAATTAGTTTGTAATTTCAATGAAATTCAACAATCTCCATAATCTAATATTGGCAAATACTTGGTTTTTAAAATGTCACTATATATTTTGATATTGAATAACTAATGAGTAACCAAGATGCATTCGTATAGCTTAGTTTTGCTTCATGTCTTGAAAAATCGACTTCGTGGCTCGTTATGTTCCACTAATGTTGTCCCAGAGAATTCCATGCCGTGCATTATTCATCGACACTGGGACTGGTTGAAAAAAGGGGAGAGGTAATCAGTGTATGACATGGTCAAAGCCAGCGGTGATCCTACTGTAACTTTCTTTCAGTTTCTTGATAAAAAAATGGACGTAATTTCTTAAACTGGAAGAATTCTTTCTGTCTGTACTTTCGCTAACTGAACTACACCTCCCATTATTATTATTATTTCACTCTCATACACCAATTTCCGCTCGTTATTATTATCCACTTTCCTATACGCACTTTACATTCACTATCTCTTCAAATTCTCATTGTTACTGTGTGGTGCATGTGTATTTGGTGCCTTTTGTACCAATATTTATGTGTTCAAGTAAATAAGTTTTGCTTCAAAATATATTTCTAGTTTTCAATAGGGAGAATTTGCGGGAATAAAACTTTTGTCAGTCAAACTCACAACAATGAAGAATCACATTAGGTTTAGAGACAAGGGTGTTTCGCTACAACAGCAACTTTATTTTAGGAAACACTAAAAGTATAATATTTATCAAACGAAATATGTCTAGATGAATTAAAAATTCACATGTTTCTAGCTATGGTGTATAACTAATAAAATAATATTCAGATCGTCTGATTTACTCTTATAACAGAACAGTAACATTTAAATTTACCCTGACGACCCAAGTATTTTATGATAATCTGAAAGTTTCTACATATTCATACGGTTATGTATCATTATACGTAAATTGATTTAAGTCTATTAGCATTCCAAAAGGACTGAATAATTGGCAAAATTGTTTTTTCTACAACAATGCTGAATATACTGTAGGTGTTATATGTGAAAATTGTAATGAACATTGAATTTAGCTCTCCATTGATCTAATTCAATCTAAACAAGGAAACAACTGTCAGAAGTAAATAAAATATTTGACAATAACAGAAAATAACATCGCTTTAGGAAATATATAGTTGTAAACTAATACATTATAGGCCTTTTACGATTATTCCTATTACATCACATGTTCAAAAGTGTAATTCATGACAATAAGAATTTTATCATGTGAGACTATATTGATATTTTTTAACTAGTCTAAACATTACAAACTTATCTACTTGGTATCAGCAGTAGATTACATCATAATAGAAAACAACTATATGTGTCGAGTAATTACAAATGAATATTATCAGGTGTCTTGTGGAAATTATAGTAATTTTAATAGTTGAGATCATGAGTCAGTTGAAGCTAGACCGCCATGAAGAACTTGGAAGCACTGGACGGCATTTTCGTCCTAGTATGGGACTTCTCAGTAGTGCGCATCCAAGATACCGCGTGAGGAACTCGAACCGAATACCTTAGATATTGCGTGCGGATGCTTAACATCTAAACCACTGAACCGGCAACCAACGATGTTAATGTCTAACTTCGACCAATCCATGAAATTGAGTCATCGTTCACCATTGTCTTCAGTGAGTTACTATCTCACAACAGACCCGGTTGAACTCCATTGGTCATTGATTCTCACTGGAACTCTAGGAAATACCTCTTGAAGCTAATCCCGCGATAGGACGAAACGGTCGTACAGTGCTTCCAGGTTCTTCATGGTAGTCTAGCTTCAATTGACTCATGATCTCAACTATTAAAATTACTACAAATGAATATGTTTATAACAGCTATTTTTCTCAGTTCTCTCTTTTATTCCATTCAACTTCAAAGGGAACAATAACTATTGAATGTTTCATGTATATTTCAAATATAATAACGAAACTATTCGACATAAATATTAGAAATTCACTTACAAGTAATTATGTTACTTCATTCATGAAATAATAATACAATTAAGAATTTTTAAAATGTCTACTATTATTCAGTAATTCAAATCACATTAACCATTAGTGTATTATTTCTGTTCAATCATATAATCCACCGTTTAATAATACATATTTGTAAAGTTATTAGTAATAATATTGATATTAATGAAATTTTTATGTCACAAATGAATCAAACGAAGATTATATTAGTATAATCATTGTTTTAACCAGTTAGTTAGTTCAGATATTTTGATTGGTTTATTGAATACTTTACACCTGATTGGTTATAGTTTCATAACAAATCAGTCCATTACATTATATATATATATATATATATATATATATATATATATATATATATATATATATATATATATATATTACTGATTAATCGAAATACCTTAGATTAACTAATTGACTAAAAATTATTTACACAAATTAGTTTCCATGATTTTTTTTTAATCATTAAAAAGAAATGAAATATTATTTCAAACAGATATGGTATAAGTTCACTTGTTATTCATTCAATTAGGTATGTTAAAACAATAATGTATACATTTCAAAGTATGTTCCCTAGTAAACTTACTCAATATACTCACTGTTCGTTGAAATGTATTGTACTGTCGTTACACTATTTTTCAGGCTAAACAATAATTTATTCAACTATACATAATGCAACTACATTTCATTTTAGCCACAAAAAAAACAGACGATATTTTAAATTATTGCGAGAACTATGAATTTTTAATAGTTGAATTCATGAGTTGATCAATCTAGACCACCATTGAGAATCTGGAAGCACTGGACGACCGTTTCGTTCTAGTATGGGACTTCTCAGCAGTGCGCATCCACGATCCCGGGTGCGAAGCTCGAAACTAGGACATTCGGTCTAATATGTGAACGCTTAACCTCTAAACCACTGAACCGGCATCCAACGGTGTTGATGTCTAATTTCAATTGATCAGTGATTTTGCGCAACCATACATCCATTGTCTAAGATAGATACCTTTCTTTAACCGACACTGATTGTAGTCCAATGGTCACCGGTGAGCACATGATGATTATTATCAGAAAGTGGATCCGGCTTCAAGATGTATTTCCTAGAGTTCTAGTGGGAAGCCATAACCAGCGGAGTTCATTCAGTGTCGGTTATAGACTGGTATCTACCATCTAGTACTTCCAGATTCTCAATGCTCGTCTGAATTGATGAACTCATGAATTCAATTATTAAAATTGCTACAATCTCCACAAACCCTATTCTCATAACTAGATTTCACATTTATTTCATTGAACATACTGCTGTATTCACTTTTGCATTAGTCAGTAAATTTAACATGAATACTTTGAAACGATCATTTTATTCCATAATTTTAACTACCAATATGACAATCACTAGAAATACTGTATACAAAACCGATTTTTAGATGTTAATACTAATTAAGTATAAAATTGTAAAATAACTTTGATTACAGCATTATATCTGAAATACATTTATAACCATAAATATTATGTAATGGTTCTTAATTTCCCTAATGTGAAACTTTTTCATCCCATGTTTTAAAACAAACTAATTATCAAATTAAACTAAAGAATATCATTTTCAACTTTTAATGAACCATTTTATTGATTTTGCTATAGATACACTAAACTAAAACCATTATATGTACAGTCTCCATAAAGTTTTGATTCCAATGGGTTGAAGTTTGATTAAGTTTTGTAATAACCCTTATGTTCATCACTAAGATTCTACATCCACGACTAATACATGTATTTGAGATCTTGTGTTGTTAAGCAACATTACTTACCTCAGCACATGGTTGAGGCTCCATCCGTCGACTTTTTCAAAAGAAAGTTGGATCAACTGAGAGACCATCATTGCCAGGACTAACACAGGCCATCAAGTCTCCTGTCCTTTCCAAACTGAAACAGAATCTTCTTCACTCAAATTACAAGTATGATAAACATTAACTAATTCCAAGTTATGATTTTCAAGTAGGTTAAAAAACATTTTCATTAGAAGAAAATATAACCATCTGTTAACTTAAGAATGAACCTAATAAATAATTTGGTTTGCAAGTTTACTATCACTGTAATAAAATAATTAATACATTTAAACAAGGAGACATACTTATAAAAGTAACAAAATTGAAACATCGTAATTCAGTGTTCTGTTTTTTTTGTGGTTATCGTGTAAAATGGTTGGTAAAAGTAACTATTGTATATATTTACTATTAATTTATTGCTTATTCTGGCTACTATGATGTAAACAAAAAAAGAGAGAGATAAAATGCAGAACACACTAATTGTAGCAGAGTATCAATGTTGTTATACTTTATTAGTTTAATTGGAGACAACATAGATTTCATTGTATATTTAATTTCTAACTTTATATCACACTGTAAATGTATTTTATCATAATAATTCTAGGAAATTTATTATTATTTATACTAAAACATGGGATTTTACATACTACTGATTTATACTACTATTGAGGACAACAAACACTTCAGAGAATGTAAATTGGGAGTTTGCCAAGTGTAATCAGTTACTTCCACAAGAACTATCCCAAATATTTTGTTACTAAAACATAATCTTGAATAAAATCTGTTAATAAGAATTTCGTGAGTTGATTCATGTAAATAATTTAAAAAAACGACCACTCAAATGGGTTCCACAATCAACTTTAATTATTTTTGTCCTGATAAGTCTTTAATGAAAGAAATGATGCATTATGACATTCCAATGGGTGAAAAAATACACAAGCAATCCATTTTGTAATAGTAATTAGTACACAATGGAGAAGCTTGTTCATGAAGAGATGCATTTCCCAGTGGACACAGTGTAATAAATTTAAAACAGATCACTGATTATTGTCTTCGTTGAAATAATTATAATATCAATAGTCAGAATATGATTTATCCTTTGCTGATAAGAGGTGTCAAATAAGGTAATGGACAGACCTATAAAATACTGAGGACAGATATAAGAAACAACAACAATATGAGACCTGGACAGCTATTGTTTGGTGAAAGAACTTGTAAATATATATATATATATATATTCACTGTGTATTTTTTAAACCGGGTCAGTTGTGAGATAGGAACTCACTGATGGCAATGGTGGATGTGTTGCTCAATTTAGTGAATTAGTTGCAGTTAGACATTAACACCGTTGGATATCGATCGGCTCGGTGGTAGAGTGGTTAAGCGATCGCGTACGAGACTGATAGGTCCTGAGTTCGAATGCCGCTAGGCGGGGTCGTGGATGCGCACTGCTGAGGAGTCCCACAATAGGACGAAACGGCCGTTCAGTGCTTCCAGATTTTCTATGGTCGTCTACCCTCAATTAACTCGTGATCTCAACTATTGAAATATTTTTCAGTGTTAGCATATTATTTTTCTTTTGTATATTTTTAGTTATAGGCTAATTTTCCGCTTCCTTAATTAATGTTACTTTGTTTATAAGTACCAAAATTACGATTATTTGCCTATAAAAATGTCACTTGGCTGTATATTGAAATCACTCTGTTTATGTATCCAAATAGCTGATGCATTTTGTAGACGATCTTCAAATGGCAAAATTAATGTGTTCAACATGAAATCAGGATCATTTTACATTGATTCTGTCATAGATGGAGAATTTAAGATAATTAAGCACAAAGGTTATTTTCTTAATAATTTCATTTGCTGTAGCTTTACAATCGTATTCGTAATGAATTAACAAATGTAAAGAAAGGATTATGTAATAAATGGTTCCGAAATCTCCACTAACAGAATGGAAGTTAAAAACAATAATAAGACAGAAGCATAAGTATAAAACATAATTGCCTATTTGAAAGAAAAACTAAGAAAGTTAAAGAATAAATATAAAAGGTGGCTGCGATAATAATAAAAAAACAATTGAAATCCAAAACTTAAGGAGAAAGCATTAACATCTACTTTATTGAGTATAAAAATCATATGTTAGAGTAATGGTAGAATAATAGCTTGAACGTGTGACCTTTGCAACTAGAGTTCTTGTTTAAAATATCAATTTACAATCGCCTCTACAATGCATAAGTTATTGATTTTTATTCCTTTTGTAACATAACTGTTTGATTATGTAGTTGATTTTTGAAGGAGTTTATGATGAAGCATGGTGACCAGAATTGACTAGATGTTCTTAAGCTGAACTATCTATTGCTTTATATTCCTATTTTAAAAAGCCAATAAGAGTGATGTTGACAGATGTATTTAAATGATGCGCTCGATTTGTGTAAGCAATGTCACTTACTTTATGAGAGCAAGTAGATTTATTGATGCCCATCAGCACTGCTCAAAGTATAAGTTTATTTTCAAAACATTTGCAAAAGATAGGGTGACGAAAGACAACAATACGATGCTGAAAGGATTAAAATATATTTCCTAAATGACTTTCAAGTTATTTTTTGAGTCCCGGACGAAGTATCCACCTTAAACTCAATATTTATTGAAATAATTTTCCTACGAATTATGGTTATTCCTTCAGTCCGTAGTTTTAGTTTCATATTTCTCTCATGAAACCTGGAATGATAGTCATTTTTGAAGTGTATTCATCAAAGCTTTAGCGATTTTTCGTTTATTGTGTCATTAAAACTTTAACCTGGCCTTTGTGGAGAAACAGAAAGCCAAGTTTCTATTTCTAATCAACAGGAATAAACTTTAAAAATTCATGGACTGTCAGTTCCAAGTTGGTGTTTTTGTATATACTTCGTTGCAATCCTTATTATTATCTTTTACAGTTATAAGTCTGAAGTCCCTTATTTTACTTCCAAATCATCATTTACTTTGTTACAATGTTCAATTTCTTCCTAATACTTTTATTTGAAATGTTCAATTACATTTACTGACATTTTGTCATTTGATTTTCAACAGCTTATTATTGCACTATACCGTCAACATGGTAACAAGAAGTTGAAAATTCTAAAAAAATATCTATTTCCAGTCTGACTTTTAATGCTCTACATAATTTTGTAGATAGTAAGAGCTTAGTTTTAAGAAATATCTAAAACTATTTTGTATATTTCAAATACATTTATCAACAATGAAGTTTAATACATAATTTTGTTTTTCTATTATGTCATACAATTTTTCAATTGGTGGTCTCATATACATCATCACACAATAACTTCACATACTTTGTGTTATTCAGTCCTATTAACTA